GCGGCAGTGCGAATTCTCCACTCGCGAGAATGTCGAAGGGCATCCGCCGGGGGCATCGGCTTCTCGGGGAAATACCGAGGGCATTCATATCGACACGTGTAATCGTGTTTGTCTGAGAAGAGATTTTACTCAAGAGCGAGCGTATCTCAACGATCACGATATTGCTATCCATCGTGCGGAAGCAACAATCCTGTCATTAAGCGAAATTGGCTTGGTTGCATTATTCGTCTCTTTAACGGAACGAATTAATGTCTGGAAAATTGAAAAAATAATTCGGATAACTTTTCGACCCTTTTCGAACCGCATCCTTCTACGTAGAAGTGAAAAATCATTACACTGCTGTTTTATATATTGATGATCCACTTGTTAATTATCAAAATTTGAAAGTTGCAATATGTTGATAGAAATTCAACATAACGCCATTCAGAATTTATGGAAAAAATATAAAGTAAGCTTTAAAAATCAACGAGTTCCAATAGCATCCTAAGATCGAAAAGGGTTAAATTTTACGATATTCGAATGCTACACGAAAATGGGCAACATGCGCAAAAAAACGAGGAACGGGTAAATAACGACGGATAATTTGTCGGCTTTGCCCATTGTGCCGTTTCCGGAGATAGGATTAGAGCGCCCCGGGCAATTTTTCTTGATTCGCACATTTCCCGCTCTGTTATTTGGACTAGAATTCTGTCATCGAAAGAATGAAGAATACGCTTTTGTTCAATGTAACACAGGGATTTATTCATAAAATATCATAAGTCGTAAAAAATTTTAGGAAAATAAACTCGAAGAATAAAAATTCTAGAAAATTAAAAGATTTATAATTACATATAAAAATTATAATAATATACTAAGAGCTCTCTTTTTGTTAAATCTTTGTTTCAAAGAGGAATTTATTTCCAAAATATTATTTTTTATATCCTCAGCGAACTAAAACACATAATGTAGGATATCATGACATACGATGATCGTGAAGATGCAAATTTTTCGGATTCGTTAATTTGACCGCGAACAAAACCGAGCGGCGATCCGTTTAATTTTCATTTATGGCGCGCAAATCAAGCGCACGCGGGGACGTCGTTCGGTATCGGATTACCGACCCCTCGATACGCGGACGTGCTCGCGGAAAAATTCGTTGACACACGAATGTACACTCACGCACGCACACGCGTATCCGCGACGCCGGCTTCGACCGCGTGCACCGGTATTACGCAAAAAACAACGCGCGCCTGTCAGGGGAAATAAAACAAGGATCGGGTAAATAGCGACGGTCCGTAGATAATTCTGTTTTGTTTATCACTGCCGCGGGAAATGCGATTTCGTACGCCACCGACTGACGCGATTTGTTTTTATATTCAACGTTCCCGGCCGCGGTTATGTATGTGTAATTCAGCGGTGATGCTCCTGCGGTATCTTGTGCGCGCAAAATAGGGATTATCGATTACACCGCTGAAACGCGCGCGGATCCGGTTCTAATTAATGATTTTATTTAAAGCCAAACGCGGTATCGACATCAATACCGATAATTGTCAGCGATTCCGAGCGTGCATTCGAAGCGGCGAAAAGATTGTCTCTCCGGTCTCCGTGATTTTTAATTCTAGAAACGATGGTCGACATTTAGGTGGCGAGATCGTCATCGTCGTGTAATTAAATCGAAATACCGGATAGTCATTAATGACAAGTGGCGCCCAATCGCGATGACTCCATGATTTTTATTGATCTCACGCTGCGAGGGTCCGGACCGCTCGCGGACGCCCCCGAGGGGGCCCCCCTGATATGGCACCTATAACGACAATCACGCTGGCAACGGCCGATCGTCGCCGCACGGAGCACACCGCCCCCTCAATCTTATCGATCGCATAAAAAGAAATCACGTAATGGATCCCGGCCGCGACGACTTTCCCATCGGCACGACAATGAGAGATTATCTGTCGGTCCCGAATTCTTCGCTCTGAAGAGAGAAAGAACTGTTTCCGAGCCGTTATTGATCCTCGATCATCTGGAACACTCATAATGCTCTCTCTCTGCTTGAGACTTCGAATTAATACCAAAGCTTTTAATAAGACAAATTATTTAGAATATAATCTGGCCACGTTAAAACGAAGATTTGTTATTGACGTAAATTACTGTTTCTTTTTCTTTCAACAATTTGGCAAATTTTCGACTAACTTTACATGAATTTTACTCTCACAAAATATTGATACTAAAAATGAATAAATTGTGTAAAAATAAGTCATAAATTATCTTGAAAGAAAAGATTGCTTTCAACTTAAGCTGCAAACTAATTTTGCAGCCGCTGATTCATATACAACCTATAGTCGCTCACGCCACGAGTCTGATTTTGAAGGATAAACGATCGCAATATCCTTTTTGTAACCGCGTTACTTCAATCTCTTATCGTTCGTTTACCTGCGGCGAATATCGTTGCACGGCACGACGAACGGACACTTTCGATCATCCGTCCGGGGCAAGTGCGGAGCGCTCAGGTTGATGGGGAGAGACAGATAGGAAAGAAACATTAGCGCGCACACGTTCGATTAACGTTTTCGTCGTACGCGAAACATGCCGCCGCCGTGCGATTCGCGATACGATCGGCGAGTCCGCGCTAAGTCTACGGGACTGTAAGGAGGTCCATAAACTTTCGTGTCCCGAGATAGTAATCGTCAGGTGCGAAAAGCGTGACGGTTCTGGAGGGAAAGCGTCCGCGCAGGCCGCCGCCGGTCCCCGCGGATGGGTGTTCCTCGCGGTGTGCGCGCAACCTCGTCGCTATTCGTCGTTGCGTCCAGCAAAGTTGATATTTTCTCTTTTTGCGCATGGCGTCGGGGCGGAGTGCGTGCGATTCCCGGCCGCGATTATTACTTATAACGCAATATCGAAGCGCGCGAAGGGCGACGAGCGGGCGATGATCCGCTTTTGCTTCATTAGGGAACGTTGCACTCAAGGTAACAATAAATCTCCGGCCTTATCGATTTCACGACGATACGATACGTCGATTTGTCATATGTTTATCCGGCGCTTATTATATGCGATTTATCACGCGCCCGATCTCTCGCGCTACGTTCGCAACACGGGCTACGATTATTAATTTAAAGGCGAGAGAGGGTGGGGGAGTGCGAGGGGGAATAGTTAATGTAAAATGCATCCTGTATCGATGCTCACGCGCTGCATTCTTTCGATAACGCAGTCAGGAATTGTGAGCCAATAGAGCCGGATCACCTATAAATAATCGTGTCGCGCTGCAATGATTTTGTAAGAATTGACGGCGTGTACGGTGATTTTTGCGCGTCGCTTTTCCGTTTCCGTTATCAAAATGCTTTTTCAGTTCCTTATAATGCACATTACTGAAAGCATTATCAAAGTCATTTCTAAATAAAAAATTTGCGAGTCTATTGTTACATTTGCGAAATATAATTAAATAATTATTTCATTGTAATTGCTGAAAAATAAACATCTAGAACTTTTTAGAATAATATAATCACAAAGCGTTTTAAATTAAATATATTTCTATACCTTTTTTCATTAATGAACGTATATAATGGTATTATTGTTATGTTTGTGATTATATACAGCCGCGTTGAATTCATTTGCACAACGCACCTTGCATCGAGCTACTTATGATCGTCCACCTCCTTCGCAATACTAACTTTCTCCTCGAATATCAAAGTGCAACTCGAATCGGATTATCCGCACAACTGCACTACAAAGTAGCCTGTATTAAGTTCTGGATAGTATGATATATATACATATGGGTATATACTATAATATTCTGGAATGCGTTTATGTCTCGCTTTAGTCTCCGTCATATAGCTTGAAACAAATTAACTTCTACGCGGATATACTTGTCTTAAACGCCGCATGATGAAATAATTTATGCTGTATCTACTCGCAGTAATCGCACGAGAAGCCAAAATCTCAAAAACCTATTATCTTTACAACTCCGATCTCGTGATGAGAAAAATTGCGCCGCTGACTCTCCGTTCTCATTAAGTTTAAAAGAGCTCCATATCACGGAGCGCGCATTACGAGCGCGGCGAAATCGAACGTTCGAAATCGGGGATATCTTCGGACATTGTCTTCTCTCCACGCCGGTAGCGTGCGGGATGATCCTCGTCGTACGAGTCGAGACGATACGACGGCGGCGGCAGCAGCAGGTTGATGGATGCCGGAGTCTCATGAGAAAATCCGAACGGTGGGGATACGCCGCGCGACTCGTCGTACTCGTCCTCGTACGCTTCGACGTATAGTGGTGGCACACAGCTCTAGTGGTGGTACCGGACTGCCGGCGGCGGCGCCGGCAGTAGTAGTAGTAAACGGCGATAGTAGTAGTAGTAGTAGTAGAATGACGCGGTGCTCGTAGAAGGGTCGACCGGTAGTGGGGACGGTAGGTCCGGTCGCGAGGACGCGTGGGGGTAAGTAAGTACCTTTGGTACCACGGCGACCCTAGGTTGCCTCGACGATACCGGAGACAGAACCGGAGAGAGAAGGACAGCAAGGCCGGAGGGGC